AAAAAGAAAGAGAAAAAGAAGAAGAGAGAGAGAGAGAGAGAGAGAGAGAGAGAGAGAGAGACAGATTAGACAGACAGAAAGAATAAGTAGATTGATGAAAGAAGAGATGAAATAAAGAATAGACATATAGACAGATATGACAGATAAACATAAAGAGAGTGATGAAAGAAAGAAAGAAAGAAAGAATAGATAGGAGAGGTAAACACATTGAGGCTGATTCACTCAAGCAATTAATACTTGAAACTTAATAAATTGTGTGAAGATTCACTTGAATCATTCCCTTTTACTATATGGCAAGTTTATGTTTGTTTTGTTTTCACATGATTGGGAATTGAAAGTGGAGACAGCTACAGCTTTAATGAGTGAAGATTCTCAACTGCTTTAGTACATCAGCCTCATATATAGACATAGAAAGATAGATATATACATGGCTGGAGAGGCTGGTGTATAGATCAGACATATAAAGTTGTATACACAGTAATTATATAATGTTTTCCTATAGATGGTATGTTATGTTGTGTTCCATATAGATAGATAATTCTGTGCTATTTTTTTGTATATGTATCATGCTGCCTCACTGGATTACACAGAATCAAATATTGTTATATATATATATATATATATATATATATAGTTATCTTGTTTTATATGTGTTTTATTGCATATAAGGCTGGTACACTGGGCATTATATAATGGTAGAGATTCCCCTAATCCTTAACAATGTGTCCTCCCCCTACTTTGGGGCTGGCAGTGGTAATAGGGTCAGGTCAGTGGTATCCCCCCACAGGGCACACAGCTTATTCTGGGCAGAGTTTCCTTTCCTGCCTGTTGGTTAGATGTGGCGCGGTGTTATAAAGACAAGTGATACATTTGTTCTCTAGACTTTGTAGTTTGTGGTTAACATAAGTTGGATATAATGTATATTATTTGAATTTGTATTTTGAAACCTCTTCATAGTCCTGTTTTGTCTTGGAGTGGGAGGTAGCTGCATCCATACCTTTGGCACAAACCTATAGTAGTGCCAGTGGGCATAGCACTGATAGGTTTTGTATGGCATGGAATTTCTCAGGGCTGCTAAGGAGTGGGAGAACTTGTGCAGGGCTTCTGTGGCTGTGAGTTTCTGTTGGATGTTGGATCATGGATGTAGCAGCTGCATAAATACGCATTGGCACAACAGAGCATGGGACAACTCCTGAATTTGTTTTTGCCACTGTGCCATAGCATAAGCGCCTGTGGCTCAGTGGTCACGACAAACTCTAGAGGTGGCATCAGGGATATTATACTTGCAGCAATGCCCACCCTAATCCACTCTTTAGGCAACCTCATTCCATTTTACATGCTTACAGATACAATGGTGAGCTCATGCCTCCTTTGTGTGCCGTTTTTCTCAAAGCAGTGGCAGTTGTGAGCCGCTTGTACACCTCACGAGCTCTATTTATTGTCCTTTTTTTTGTTTTTTAAATACCAATGTGATAATGTGCCCCCTATCTCCTCTGTACCTTGGCCAGCTGCCACTGCTGCCCTACCCAGCTTGTACCAGAAGGTTGGTGGATAGAGAAGTCCTTCTGGCCATATGGTAAGGCTGCTGCACAGCAGTAAGTTATAGGTCATCTGCAGCATTCGTGTACCTTTTCCTGCCTATATTTGAGAAGGAGCATCTTGTGAGCCCTATTTGTAGATGTTGGCTCATTTGTATATGCAATATCCAGTCAGAGGTGTGGAAATGATTTAACCCCTTGGAGCTTGATTGCATTATATTTCTCCTTTAGTAAATTTGGGCCTAATAAAGCTGTGTAAACAGCAGTCCTAATGTGTGAAAAGGACTTTAGTGAGATCAGAAAATATGAATTGTACATTAAAATGGCTCACCCCCCCCCTCCCCCCCCTATACAACGGGGCAGTA